TGAAATGTCCCAAAGGGATTTTGGGGGTCATCCCAATTTGGGGGCATTTGGGATTTTGGGGAGGTTTTGGGGTCACCCCAATTTGGGGGGGTTTTGGGGTGGGGATTTTGGGGGTTATGGGGTCACCCCAATTTGAAGGATTTGGGGGAATTTTGGGGTCACCCCAGGGTTGAGGTGGGGATTTTGGGGGGATTTTGGGGGGATTTTGGGGTCACCCCAATTTGGGGATTTGGGGGGGATTTTCGGGGGATTTTTCGGGGGGATTTGGGGTCACCCCAATTTGGGGGATTTGGGAATTTAGGGCGGATTTTGGGGTCACCCCAGTTTTGGGGACCCCCACGGAGGGCTCAGGTTTGGGGTGGGGATTTTGGGGGGGGATTTTGGGGTCACCCCAATTTGGGGGATTTTGGGTGGGATTTTGTGGTCCCCCCAGTTTTGGGGTGGGGATTTGGGGGGATTTTGGGGGTTTTGGGGTCACCCCAGTTTTGGGGACCCCCTCGGAGGGCTCAGGTTTGGGGTGGGAGTTTTGGGGGAATTTTGGGTGGGGATTTTGGGGTCCCCCCCAGTTTTGGGGACCCCTCGGAGGGCTCAGGTTTGGGGTGGGGATTTTGGGGGGGTTTTGGGGTCCCCCCAGTTTTTGGGGGACCCCCTCGGAGGGGCTCAGGTTTGGGGTGGGAGTTTTGGGGGAATTTTGGGTGGGGATTTTGGGGTCCCCCCCAGTTTTTGGGGACCCCCTCGGAGGGCTCAGGTTTGGGGTGGGGATTTTGGGGGGGGATTTTGGGGGGGATTTTGGGGGTTTTGGGGTGGGGGATTTGGGGGATTTTGGGGGTCCCCCCAGTTTTGGGGTGGGGATTTTGGGGGGGATTTTGGGGTCCCCCCAGTTTTGGGGACCCCCTCGGAGGGCTCAGGTTCCCCCCCCAGCGCTGCCGGCAACCGATGGGGCCCCTGCACCCCCCTGCCAGGTACGGGCTCAGACAGGGGATTTGGGGTTTTTATGGGGTTTTTATGGGGTTTTTATGGGGTCTGGGGGAATTTGGGGGTTTGGGGAGGGGTTTGGGGCGGAGTTTGGGGGGAGTTTGGGGGTTTTTTGGGGGGTTTTTGGGGGGTTTTTGGGGGGTTTTTTGGGGATTTCTCAGGGTTTTTAGAAGGATTTTTTCTGGGTTTCAATGGGGTTTTGGGGGGGTTTATGGGGTTTTTATGGGGTTTGGGGAGGGTTTTGGGGGGTTTATGGGGTTTCTTATGGGGTTTCTATGGGGTTTCTATGGGTTTCTATGGGGTTTCGGGGAGTTTTATGGAGTTTTTTGGGGGGTTTTTATGGGTTTTTTGGGGGGTTTTTGGGGATTTCTCAGGGTTCTTAGAAGGATTTTTTTTGGGTTTCAATGGGGTTTTGGGGGGGTTTATGGGGTTTTTATGGGGTTTGGGGAGGGTTTTGGGGGGTTTATGGGGTTTCTATGGGGTTTCTATGGGGTTTGGGGAGGGTTTTGGGGAAGTTTTATGGAGTTTTTGGGGGTTTTTAATGGGTTTTTTTGGGGAGTTTTAATGGGGTTTTTTATGGGAGTTTTTGGGTGGGTTTATGGGGTTTTTTTGGGGAGGGGTTTTATGGGATTTGGGGGGGGTTTATGGGGGGTTTTATGAGGGTTTTTGTGGGGTTTTTGGGGGGGGCATTTATGGAGGTTTTTTGTGGGGTTTTATGGGTTTTTTCTTGTGGGTTTTACGGGATTTTTAATGGGGTTTTTGTGGCTTTTTGGGAGGTTTTTATAGGAGTTTTTGGGCGGTTGTGATGGGGGTTATTTGGGGGGCATTTATATGGGAATTTGGAGGAGTTTTTTTGGGGCTTTTATGGGGTTTTGGGGAGGTTTTTATGGGTTTTTTAATGGGGTTTTGGGGTTTTTTTTTTGGGGGGTTTTTATGGTTTTTTGGGGGGGGGTTTTATGGGGGTTTTTCGGGGGGCGTTTTATGGGGTTTGTGGGGGTTTATGGGAATGAGGGGGTTTGGGGAGGGTTTTGGAGGGGGTTTGGGGTTTTTAATGGGGTTTTTGGGGTGTTTTTTAATGGGGTTTTTGGGGGGTTTTTAATGGGGTTTTTGGGGGGAATTCGGGGAGGTTTTTGGGAGAGGTTTTATGGGGTTTTTTGTGGGTTTTTGGGGAGGATTTGGGGGGTTTTATGGGGTTTTAATGGGGTTTTTGGGGAGGGTTTTAAGGGTTTTTGGGGGGGGGTGTTTATGGGGGCTTTTACGGGGTTTTTGGGGGGGTTTTGTGGGGTTTTTATGGGGTTTTTGGGAGGGTTTTAGGGGGTTTTGGGGGTGGTTTATAGGGTTTTTTGGGGCGGGTTTATGGGGTTTTTTGGGGGTTTTAGCGGGGTTTTCATGGGGTTTTCATGAGGGTTTTTGGGGGCATTTATGGGGGTTTTGGGGTATTTATGGCTTTTCTTGAGGCGTTTTTTGGGTTTTTGGGGGTATTTATGGGGTTTTTGGGGGGGCATTTATGGGGTTTTTGGGGGGGGCATTTATGGGGTTTTTGGGGTATTTATGGGGTTTTTATGGGATATTTATGGGGTTTTTGGATATTTATGGGGTTTTTTTTGGGGTATTTATGGTGTTTTTATTGGGGTTTTTGGGGGTATTTATGGGTTTTTGGTGTCCCCAGGACGACGGTGACCGAGGAGTACCGGGTTCCTGACGGGATGGTCGGGCCTCAGTGAGTGCTGGGGATTTGGGGTTTTTGGGGGGGATTTTGGGGTTTTTGGGGGGGATTTTGGGGAATTTGAGGGGGATTTTGGGAGGGATTTGGGGGCGACCCCAAAACTTTGTGGGATTTTGGGGACCCCCCCTCAAACCCCATTTTGTGGGGGGAATTTGGGGTTTTTGAGGGGAATTTTGGGATTAATTTGGTGTTGGGGTGGTCCTAGGGATTTGGGGGATTTTTGGGGGGGGATTTGGGGTTTTTGAGGGAATTTTGGGAGGAATTTTGAGGTTTTTGAGGGGAATTTTGGGAAGAATTTGGGGATTTTGAGGGGAATTTTGGGATGAATTCGGGGATTTTGACGGGGATTTTGGGAGGAATTTTGGGGGCTTTGAGGTTTGGGGTGGGTCCCAGGAATTTGGGGGATTTTGGGGGTGGCCCCAAAACTTTGTGGGATTTTGGGGACCCCCCCTTCAAACCCCATTTTGGGGGGATTTGGGGTTTTTGAGGGGAATTTGGCAATTTTAAGGGGAATTTTGGGAGGAATTTTGGGGGGTTTGAAGTTTGGGATATCCCAAAAATTTCTGGGGTGACCCCAAAACTTTGTGGGATTTTGGGACCCCCCTGAAACCCCAATTTTGGGGGGAATTTGGGATGAGATTTTGGGGGGAATTTGGGGGTTTTTGGGGGAGGAATTGAGGCTTTTGAGGGGAATTTTGGGAGGAATTTGGGGTTTGGGAGGTCCCAGGAATTTGGGGGATTTTGGGGGTGGTCCCAGAACTTTATGGGATTTTGGGGACCTCCCTCAAACCCCATTTTGGGGTTGGTATTGGGGTTGGTTTTGGGGTTTTTGGGGTAGGAATTTGAGGGTTTTTGAGGGAAATTTTGGGAGGAATTTTGGGGGCGACCCCAAAACTTTATGGGATTTTGGGGACCCCCCTCAAAACCCCGTTTTGGGGTTGGTTTTGGGGTTGGTTTTGGGGTTTTTGGGGTGGGAATTTTGGGGATTTTGAGGGGGATTTTGGGATTAATTGAGGTTTGAGGGGATCCCAAGAATTTGTGGGGCGACCCCAAAACTTTGTGGGGATTTTGGGGACCCCCCCTTCAAACCCCATTTTGGGGGCATTTGGGATGAGTTTTTGGGGGAGATTTGGGGTTTTTGAGGGGGATTTTGAGATTAATTTGAGGCTTTTTAGGGGAATTTTGGGAGGAATTTTGGGGGGTTTGGGATTTGGGGGATCCCAAGAATTTGTGGGGCGACCCCAAAACTTTGTGGGGATTTTGGGGACACCCCCCTCAAACCCCATTTTGGGGGGGGTTTTGGGGGGAATTTGGGGGTTTTTGAGGGAATTTTGGGAGGATTTTGGGGATTTTAGGGGGAATTTTGGGAGGAATTTTGGGAATTTTGAGGGGAATTTTGGGAGGAATTTGGGGTTTGGGGTGGTCCCAGGGATTTCGGGGATTTTTGGGGGGATTTTGGGAGGAATTTTGAGGTTTTTGAGGGGAATTTTGGGAGGAATTCGGGGATATTGAGGGGAATTTTGGGGTGTTTGAGTTTGGGACGACCCCAAAAATTTTGAGGCCGACCCCAAAACTTTGTGGGGATTTTGGAGACCCCCCCCTTCAAACCCCATTTTGGGGGGATTTGGGGTTTTTGAGGGGAATTTTGGGAGGAATTTTGGGGGATTTTGGGGCCGATCCCAAAACTTGGAGGAATTTTGGGGACCCTCCCCAAACCCCACTTTGGGGTTGGTTTTGGGGTTTTGAGGGGAATTTTTGAGAGGAATTTTGGGAGGAATTTTGGGGATTTTGAGGGGAATTTTGGGAGGAATTTTGGGGGTTTTAAGGGGAATTTTGGGGCATTTGAGGTTTGGGACGATCCCAAAAATTTCTGAGGCAACCCCAAAACTTTATGGGATTTTGGGGGACCTCCCTCAAACCCCATTTTGGGGTTGGTTTTGGGGTTTTTGAGGGGAATTTTGGGAGGAATTTTGGGGTTTTTGAGGGAAATTTTGGGAGGAATTTTGGGGGGTTTGAGGGGAATTTTGGGAAGAATTTGGGGTTTTTGAGGGGAATTTTGGGAGGAATTTTGGGGTTTTTGAGGGGAATTTTGGGAGGATTTTGGGGATTTTGAGGGGAATTTTGGGAGGAATTTGGGAGGAATTTTGGGGTTTTTGAGAGAAATTTTGAGGGGAATTTTGGGGATTTTGAGGGGGATTTTGAGGGGAATTTTGGGGGGAATTTTGGGGACGACCCCAAAACTTTGTGAAATTTTGAGGACCCCGCCCCCCCTTTTTAACCCCTTCCTTTCCCCCTTCAGTCATCGGCCGAGGGGGGGAACAAATCAACAAAATCCAGCAGGACTCGGGCTGCAAAGTTCAGATTTCCCCAGGTATGGGGGACCCCAAACCCTCCCTGAACCCCCCCCATTGCTGAGGGGTCCAAAAAACCCCAAAAATCGGGGGGGGCAGGGCCCTGAACCCCATTTTGTGTCCCCAGACAGCGGCGGCCTCCCCGAGCGCAGCGTGGCCCTGACCGGGGCCCCCGAGGCCGTGCAGTGAGTCGGGCACAGGGGGTTTGGGAGCCCTGAAAGGGGGTTTTGGGAGCCCTGAAAGGGGGTTTGGGGCCTCGAAATTGGGTTTGGGGGGCCTCGAAATTGGGTTTTGGGGGCCTCGAAATTGGGTTGGGGTGCCCAGAATTTGGTTTAGGAGCCTGAAAGGGGATTTAGGAGCCTGAAATTGGGGTTGGGGGAGGCTAAAAAGTGGGTTTAGGAGCCTGAAAATGGGGTTTGGGGGGACTGGAATTGGGGTTTGGGAGCCTCAAAGGGGGTTTGGGAGCCTGGAATTGGGGGTTGGGGGCCTCGAAATTGGGGTTTGGGGGCCTGAAATTTGGGTTGGGGGCCCTGAAAGGGGGTTTGGGAGCCCTGAAAGGGGGTTTGGGAGCCTGAGATTGGGGTTTTGGGGGGCTGGAATTGGGTTTTGGGGGGCCTGAAATTGGGGTTTGGGAGCTTAACATTGGATTTAGGAGCCTGAAATTGGGGTATGGGGACCTGAAAGTGGGGTTGGGGGAGGCTGAAATTGGGGTTGGGAGGTTAAAATTGGGGTTGGGGGCCCTGAAATTGGGTTTGGGGGAGCCTGAAATTGGGTTTAAGGGAGCTTAAAATTGGGGTTGGGGGCCTGGAATTGGGTTCAGGCGCCTGCAGTTGGGTTTGGGGAGCATAAAATTGGGGTTTGGGAGCCCTAAAAGGGGGGTTTGGGAGCCCTAAAAGTGGATTTAGGAGCCTGAAATTGGGGTTTGGGAGCCTCAAAGGGGGTTTGGGAGCCCTAAAAGTGGATTTAGGACCCCAAAATTGGGTTTTAGGGAGGCTAAAATTGGGTTTGGGGGCCCTGAATTGGGATTGGGGATGCCAGAATTGGGGTTTGGGGCCTCGAAATTGGGGTTGGGGAGCTTTAAAATTGGGGTTTGGGGGCCTGGAATTGGGGTTGGGAGCCTCAAAGGGGGGTTGGGGCCTGGATTGGGGTTAGGAGCCTGGAGTTGGGGTTTGGGGGCCTGGAATTGGGGTTGGGGGAGGCGACCGAAATTGGGGTTAGGAGCCCTAAAAAGGGGTTGGGGGCCTCGAAATTGGGGTTTGGGAGCCCTAAAAAGTGGGTTATGGGGGCCTGGAATTGGGGTTTGGGGGGCTGGAATTGGGTTTGGGGGCCTGAAATTGGGGTTTGGGAGCTTAACATTGGATTTAGGAGCCTGAAATTGGGGGTTGGGGACCTGAAAGTGGGGTTGGGGGAGGCTGAAATTGGGGTTGGGGAGGTTAAAAATTGGGGTTGGGGGCCCTGAAATTGGGTTTGGGGGAGGCTGAAATTTGGATTGGGGGAGGCTGAAATTGGGGTTTGGGACACTGAAATTGGGTATGGGGACACTAAAATTGGGTTTAGGAGCCTGAAATTGGGAAGGGGGAGGCTAACAATTGGGTTTGGGAGCCTGAAATTGGGTTTTAGGAGCCCTAAAAGTGGATTTAGGAGCCCCTAAACCTGGGTTATAGGAGTCTGACATTGGGTTTAGGGAGGCTAAAATTGGGTTTTGGGGATGCCAGAATTGGGGTTTGGGGGCCTGGAATTGGGGTTTGGGAGCCTGGAATTGGGTTTGGGTGGGCCCTAAAAGTGGATTTAGGACCCCAAAATTGGGTTTAGGGAGGCTAAAATTGGGTTTGGGGGATGCCAGAATTGGGGTTTGGGGGAGGCTAAAAGTGGGTTTGGGAGCCTGAAATTGGGGTTTGGGGGCCTGGAATTGGGGTTTGGGGGGCCTGAAGTTGGGGTTTGGGAGCCCTAAAAGGGGATTTAGGAGCTTAAAATTGGGGTAGGGGGCCTCGAAATTGGGGTTTAGGAGCCTGAACTTGGGGTTGGGGAGGCTAAGATTGGGTTTGGGAGCCTGAAATTGGGTTTAGGAGCCCGAAATTGGGTTTGGGGGAGGTTAAAAGTGGGTTTAGGAGCCTGAAAATGGGGTTTGGGGGGACTGGAATTGGGGTTTAGGAGCCCAAAATTGGGGTTGGGGGAGGCTGAAATTGGGGTTTGGGGAGCCTGAAATTGGGGTTTGGGGAGGCTGAAATTGGGGTTTGGGGGCCTGGAATTGGGGTTTGGGGGAGGCTAGAAGTGGGTTTGGGAGCCTGAAATTGGGGTTTGGGAGCCCTAAAAGTGGATTTGGGGGCCTGGAATTGGGATTGGGGAGGTTAAAAATGGGTTGGGGGAGACTAAAATTGGGGTTTGGGAGCCTGACAAGGGGGTTTGGGAGCCTGGAATTGGGGTTGGGGGCCTCGAAATTGGGTTGGGGAGCCCAAAATTGAGTTTAGGACCCCTGAAATGGGGATTGGGGAGCTTAAAATTGGGTTTAGAAGCCCTGAAATTGGGATTGGGGACCCTGAAATTGGGATTGGGGGTGCCCAGAATTGGGCTTAGGGAGCTTAAAATTGGATTTAGGAGCCCTAAAAGTGGATTTAGGAGCTTAAAATTGGGGTTGGGGAGCCCAAAATTGGTTTAGGGAGGCTAAAATTGGGTTGGGGGATGCCAGAATTGGGGTTTGGGGGACTGGAATTGGGGTTTTGGAGCCCTAACAGTGGATTTAGGAGCCTGAAATTGGGTTTGGGGGCCTGGAATTGGGGTTTAGGAGCCCTAAAAGTGGATTAGGAGCCCGAAATTGGGTTTTGGGGGAGGTTAAAATTGGGTTTAGGAGCCTGGAATTGGGGTTTTGGGAGCCCTAAAACTGGGTTTAGGAGCCCGAAATTGGGTTTGGGGAGGTTAAAATGGGTTTAGGAGCCTGGAATTGGGGTTTGGGGGGGACTGGAATTGGGGTTGGGGAGCCCTGAAAGGGGGTTTAGGAGCCCTAAAACCGGGTTTTGGGAGCCCTCAAAGTGGATTTAGGAGTCCGAAATTGGGGTTTGGGGGCCTGGAATTGGGGTTTGGGAGCCCTCAAAGGGGGTTTGGGAGCCCTAAAAGGGGATTTAGGAGTCCGAAATTGGGTTTTGGGGGCCTGAGGAATTGGGGTTGGGGAGCCCAAAATTGAGTTTAGGACCCCTGAAATGGGGATTGGGGAGCTTAAAAATTGGGTTTAGGAGCCCTGAAATTGGGATTGGGGTCACTAAAAGTGGGTTTAGGAGCCTGAAAAGTGGGTTAGGACCCCAAAACCGGATTTAGGAGCCCAAAATTTGGTTTAGGGAGCTTACAAATTGGGTTTAGGAGCCCAAAATTGGGTTTAGGAGCCTGACAATGGGGTTGGGGAGCATAAAATTGGGGTTTAGGAGCCCAAAAGGGGGTTGGGGAGCCCAAAATTGGGTTTGGGGGAGGCTAAAAGTGGGTTTAGGAGCCTGAAATTTGGATTGGGGAGCCTGAAATTGGGGTTGGGGGCCTCGGAAATTGGGGTTGGGGGCCTCGAAATTGGGGTTGGGGGCCTAGAATTGGGGTTTGGGAGCCCTAAAAGTGGATTTAGGAGCCTGAAATTGGGGTTGGGGGCCCTGAAATTGGGTTGGGAGCCCTAAAAGGGGGTTTGGGGGCCTGGAATTGGGGTTTGGGAACCCTAAAAGGGGGTTTGGGGAGGCTGAAAATTGGGGATTGGGGGCCTGGAATTGGGTTGGGGGACCCCAAGATGCCCCCTAACCCTCCCCAAATGCCCCCAAACCCCCCCAATGATCCCAAACCCCCTCGGCCAGGAAGGCCAAGGCCCTGCTGGATGAGAGAATGCACCCAAATCCCCTCTAAACCTCCTTGAATCTCCCCCAAATCCCCCCTAAACCTCTCCAAATCCCCCCCAAATCCCCTCTAAATCCCCCCTAAATGCTTCCAAATCCCCTCTCAACCACCCCAAATCCCTTGAATGATCCCAAACTCCCTCGGCCAGGAAGGCCAAGACCCTGCTGGATGAGAGAATGCACCCAAACCCCCCCCCAAATAACCCCCAAATTCCCCCTAAAACCCCCACAAACCATCCCAAATCCCCCTCAAATCCCCCTAAACCTCCCCAAATCCCCCCTAAACCCCCCCCATGATCCCAAACCCCCTCGGCCAGGAAGGCCAAGGCCCTGCTGGATAAGAGAATGCACCCAAATCCCCTCTAAACCCCCCCTAAATGCTCCCAAATCCCCTCTTAAACCACCCCAAATCCCCACTAAATGCTCCCAATCCCCTCTAAAACCCCCCCAAATCCCCGAATGATCCCAAAACCCCCTCGGCCAGGAAGGCCAAGGCCCTGCTGGATGAGAGAATGCTCCCAAATCCCCTCTAAACCTCCTTGAATCTCCCCCAAATCCCCTCTAAATCCCCCTAAATCCCCTCTAAATCCCCCCTAAATCCCCCCTAAATGCTCCCAAATCCCCTCTAAAACTCCCCGAATGATCCCAAACCCCCTCGGCCAGGAAGGCCAAGGCCCTGCTGGATGAAAGAATGCACCCAAATCCCCTAAATCCCCTCTAAACCCCCCCTAAATGCTCCCAAATCCCCCCTAAACCCCCCCCAACACCCCCAATGATCCCAAACCCCCTCGGCCAGGAAGGCCAAGGCCCTGCTGGATGAGAGAATGCACCCAAATCCCCCTAAATCCCCTCTAAACCCCCCCAAACCCCCCCTAAATGCTCCCAAATCCCTTGAATGATCCCAAACCCCCTCGGCCAGGAAGGCCAAGGCCCTGCTGAGATGAAATCGTGTCCCGAGGCCGGGGGGGGCCCCCGGGTCCCTTCCCCGACGCCGCCAACGGCAACGGGAGCGTGCAGGAGCTGATGATCCCTGCAGGCAAGGCTGGGCTGGTCATCGGCAAGGGAGGGGAGACCATCAAACAGCTCCAGGTGAGCGCCTAAATCCCTTTGGCTGGGGGTTTGGGGGGGTTCAGAACAGGGCTGGTCATGGGTAAGGGAGGATGAGACCATCAAACAGCTCCAGGTGAGCGCCTAAATCCCTTTGGCTGGGGGTTTGGGGAGGTTTGGAACAGGGCTGGTCATCGGCAAGGGAGGGGAGACCATCAAACAGCTCCAGGTGTGTGCCTAAATCCCTTTGGCAGAGGGTTTGGGGGGGTTTGGGGAGGTTTGGAACAAGGCTGGTCATCGGTGAGACCATCAAACAGCTCCAGGTGAGCGCCTAAATCCCTTTGGCTGGGGGTTTGGGGAGGTTTGGAACAGGGCTGGTCATGGGTAAGGGCAGGGAGACCATCAAACAGCTCCAGGTGAGCGCCTAAATCACCTGGGGCACAGTGTTTAGGGGGATTTAGAGGGGATTTAGGGATGTTACGAGGGATTTTAGGGACGTTACGAGGGGATTTGGGTAGGTTTCGAGGGGATTTAGGAGGTTTAGGAGGGATTTGGGGTGGTTTAGAACAGGGCTGGTCATCGGCAAGGGAGGGGAGACCATCAAACAGCTCCAGGTGAGCGCCTAAATCCCTTTGGCTGGGCATCTGGGGGGGTTGTAGAGGGGATTTGGGGAGGTTTCTGGAGGTTTTTGAGGGGATTTAGGGAGGTTTCAGGGAGGTTTGGGGGTGTTTGGAACAGGGGCTGGTCATCGGTGAGACCATCAAACAGCTCCAGGTGAGCGCCTAAATCACCTGGGCTGGGGGTTTGGGGTGTTTAGAACAGGGCTGGTCATCAGGAGACCATCAAACAGCTCCAGGTGAGCGCCTAAATCACCTTGGCTGGGGTGTTTTGGGGGGTGTGTGTGTAGAGGGGATTTTAGGGACGTTACGAGGGGATTTGGGTAGGTTTCAAGGGGATTTAGGGGGGTATTAGAGGGGATTTGGGGGGCATTTAGGGGGGTTTTAGAGGGGATTTAGGGAGGTTTCAGGCAGGTTTGGGGGTGTTTGGAACAGGGCTGGTCATTGGCAAGGGAGGGGAGACCATCAAACAGCTCCAGGTGCGCGCCTAAATCACCTTGGCTGGGGGTTTTGGGGGGTTTAGGGAAGGTTTGAGAGGGTTTGGGAGGGATTTGAGGAGGTTTCCAGGGGATTTGGGGAGGTTTAGGGAGGGTTCAGGGGGATTTGGGGAGGTTAGAACAGGGCTGGTCATTGGCAAGGGCAGAGAGACCATCAAACAGCTCCAGGTGTGTGCCTAAATCACCTGGGCTGGGCTTTTAGGGGGGTTTTTAGAGGGGATTTAGGGACGTTACGAGGGGATTTCAGGGGTTTTAGAGGGGATTTGGGGAGGTTTAGGGAGGTTTGGAACGGGTCTGGTCATGGGCAAGGGAGGGGAGACCATCAAACAGCTCCAGGTGAGCGCCTAAATCCCTTTGGCTGGGGTTTGGGGGGGATTTTGGGATGGTTTCGAGGGGATTTGGGGATGTTTTAGGGAGGTTTAGGGACGTTTTCAGGGGATTTGGGGGTGGTTTAGAACAGGGCTGGTCATGGGCAAGGGAGGGGAGACCATCAAACAGCTCCAGGTGAGCGCCCTAAATCCCTTTGGCTGGGGGTTTGGGGGGCTTTGGGGAGGTTTGGAACAGGGCTGGTCATCGGCAAGGGAGGGTGAGACCATCAAACAGCTCCAGGTGAGCGCCTAAATCCCTATGGCAGAGGGTATTGGGGGGGTTTAGAGGGGATTTAGGGACGTTACGAGGGGAATTGGGGAGGTTTCGAGGGGATTTAGGGAGGTTTAGAGGGGAATTTAGGGGGGTTTAGGGGTGTGTGTAGAGAGGATTTGGGGTGGTTTAGAATAGGTCTGGTCATCGGCAAGGGCGGGGGAGGACCATCAACAGCTCCAGGTGAGCGCCTAAATCACCTTGGCAGAGGATTTTGGGGGGTTTAGAGGGGATTTCGGGAGGTGTAAAGGGGATTTGGGGAGGTTTCGAGGGGATTTAGAGAGGTTTAGGGAGGTTTGGAACAGGGCTGGTCATTGGGGAGAGCATCAAACAGCTCCAGGTGAGCGCCTAAATCACCTTGGCTGGGGGTTTGGGGGGGTTTGGGGAGGTTTAGAATGGGTCTGGTCATGGGCTAAGGGCGGCGAGACCATCAAACAGCTCCAGGTGTGTGCCTAAATCCCTTTGGCTGGGGGTTTAGAGGGGTTTTAGAGGGGATTTAGGGATGTTACGAGGGGATTTCAGGGGGTTTAGAGGGGATTTGGGGAGGTTTCAGGGGGGTTTGGAACGGGTCTGGTCATCGGCAAGGGAGGGGAGGACCATCAAACAGCTCCAGTGTGAGCGCCTACTAATCACCTTGGCTGGGGGTTTAGGGGGGTTTTAGAGGGGATTTAGGGACGTTACGAGGGAATTTGGGTAGGTTTCGAGGGGATTTAGGTGGGTTTAGAGGGGATTTGGGGGGCATTTAGGGAGGTTTCGAGGGGATTTGGGGTGGTTTAGAATAGGTCTGGTCATGGGCAAGGCGGAGAGACCATCAAACAGCTCCAGGTGAGCGCCTAAATCCCCTTGGCTGGGCTTTTTGGGGGGGTTTGGGGAGGTTTTAGAGGGGATTTGGGGAGGTTTCGAGGAGATTTAGGGAGTTTAGAACGGGGGCTGGTCATTGGGGAGACCATCAAACAGCTCCAGGTGAGCGCCTAAATCACCTGGGCATGGGGTTTTGGGGAGGTTTAGAACAGGGCTGGTCATCGGCAAGGGAGGGGAGACCATCAAACAGCTCCAGGTGCGCGCCTAAATCCCTTTGGCAGAGGTTTTGGGGGGATTTCAGGAGGTTTCGAGGGGATTTAGGGAGGTTTCAGAGGCAGTTTAAAACGGGGCTGGTCATTGGCAAGGGAGGAGAGACCATCAAACAGCTCCAGGTGAGCGCCTAAATCCCTTTGGCAGAGGGTTTGGGGGGGTTTGGGGAGGTTCAGAGGGGATTTAGGGAGGTTAGAATGGGGGCTGGTCATTGGGGAGACCATCAAAACAGCTCCAGGTGCGCACCTAAATCACCTGGGCACAGGGTTTGGGGGCATTTTTGGGAGGGTGTAAAGGGGATTTAAGGAGGTTTAGAACAGGGCTGGTCATCGGCAAGGGAGGGGAGACCATCAAACAGCTCCAGGTGAGCACCTAAATCACCTGGGCACCGGGGTTTGGGGGGGTTTGGGGAGGTTTAGAGGGGATTTAGGGAGGTTTCGAGGGGATTTGGGGTGGTTTAGGGAGGTTTGGAACAGGGCTGGTCATCAGGGAGACCATCAAACAGCTCCAGGTGAGCGCCTAAATCACCTTGGCAGAGGATTTGGGGGGGTTTGGGGAGGTTTTTGGGGGGATTTGGGGAGGTTTAGAACAGGGCTGGTCATTGGCAAGGGTGGCGGAGACCATCAAACAGCTCCAGGTGCGCGCCTAAATCACCTGGGCTGGGCTTTTTAAGGGGTTTTTTGAGGGGATTTAGGGAGGTTTCGAGGGGATTTGGGGTGGTTTAGAACAGGGCTGGTCATTGGTAAGGGAGGGGAGACCATCAAAACAGCTCCAGGTGTGCGCCTAAATCCCTTTGGCAGAGGGTTTGGGGGGGTTTGGAACAGGGCTGGTCATTGGTAAGGGAGGGGAGACCATCAAACAGCTCCAGGTGAGCGCCTAAATCCCTTTGGCTGGGGGTTTGGGGGGGTTTGGGGGGGTTTGGAACAGGCTGGTCATTGAGGAGACCATCAAACAGCTCCAGGTGAGCGCCTAAATCCCTTTGGCTGGGGGTTTGGGGGGGTTTGGAACAGGGCTGGTCATTGAGGAGACCATCAAACAGCTCCAGGTGAGCACCTAAATCCCTTTGGCTGGGGGTTTGGGGAGGTTTAGAACAGGGCTGGTCATGGGTAAGGCGGGGGGAGACCATCAAACAGCTCCAGGTGAGCGCCTAAATCCCTTTGGCTGAGGGTTTGGGGAGGTGTAGAGGGGATTTAGGGACGTTACGAGGGGATTTCAGGGGGTTTAGAGGGAATTTGGGGAGGTTTAGGGAGGTTTGGAACAGGGCTGGTCATGGGCAAGGGCGGAGAGACCATCAAACAGCTCCAGGTGAGCGCCTAAATCCCTTTGGCTGGGCTTTTTGGGGGGATTTGGGGAGGTTTAGGGAGGTTTGGAACAGGGCTGGTCATCGGGGAGACCATCAAACAGCTCCAGGTGCGTGCCTAAATCACCTGGGCACAGGGTTTGGGGAGGTTTGGAACAGGGCTGGTCATTGGCAAGGGAGGGGAGACCATCAAACAGCTCAGGTGTGTGCCTAAATCACCTTGGTTGGGCATCTGGGGGGGTTTGGGGAGGTTTGGAACGGGGCTGGTCATGGGCAAGGAGGGGAGACCATCAAACAGCTCCAGGTGAGCGCCTAAATCCCTTTGGCAGAGGGTTTGGGAGGGATTTGGGGAGGTTCAGAGGGGATTTAGGGAGGTTTGGGGGTGTTTGGAACAGGGCTGGTCATCGGCAAGGGAGGGGAGACCATCAAACAGCTCCAGGTGTGCGCCTAAATCCCTTTGGCTGGGGGTTTGGGGGGGTTTGGAACAGGGCAGGTCATCGGCAAGGGAGGGGAGACCATCAAACAGCTCCAGGTGCGTGCCTAAATCACCTTGGCTGGGCTTTTTTGGGGGGTTTTTAAGGGGATTTAGGGAGGTTTTATGGAGGTTTTAGGGAGGTTTGGGGGTGTTTGGAATGGGGCTGGTCATTGGAGAGACCATCAAACAGCTCCAGGTGAGCGCCTAAATCCCCTTGGCTGGGGATCTGGGGGGATTAGAACAGGGCTGGTCATTGGGGAGACCATCAAACAGCTCCAGGTGAGCGCCTAAATCCCTTTGGCTGGGGGTTTAGGGGGGTTTAGAGGGGATTTGGGGACGTTACGAGGGGATTTGGGGAGGTTTATGGAGGTTTCGAGGGGATTAGGGAGGTTTCAGGGGAGGTTAAAATGGGGCTGGTCATCGGCAAGGGAGGGGAGACCATCAAACAGCTCCAGGTGTGTGCCTAAATCCCTTTGGCTGGGGGTTTGGGAGGGATTTGGGGTGGTTTAGAACAGGGCTATTCATCAGGGAGACCATCAAAACAGCTCCAGGTGCGCGCCTAAATCACCTGGGCACAGGGTTTGGGGGGGTCTAGGGAGGTTTAGAGGGGATTTGGGGAGGTTTAGGGAGTTTAGAACAGGGCTGGTCATTGGGGAGACCATCAAAACAGCTCCAGGTGTGTGCCTAAATCCCTTTGGCAGAGGTTTTGGGGGGATTTCAGGAGGTTTCGAGGGGATTTGAGGACATTTGGGGGGCATTTGGGGATGTTTTGGTGCCCCTGGGTGTTTTTTTGGGGGATTTCTCAGCATTTTTGTGGTCCCTGTTTTATTTTTTGGGCTCCCTGGTTGATTTTTTTTTGGTGTCCCCTGGGTATTGTTTGGTGTCCCTGTGTATTTTTGGTGTCCCTGTTTTATTTTTTGGTGTCCCTGGTTATTTTGGGGTTTCTGCTTTATTTTTTGGTGTCCCTGGCTGGTTTTTTTTTGGAATTTCTCACCATTTTTGGTGTCCCTGGGTATTTTTTTGGTGTCCCTGGGTATTTCTGTGCTCCGTGCTCACCTTTCCCCCCTCCAGGAGCGCGCGGGGGTGAAGATGATCCTGATCCAAGACGGTTCCCAAAACACCAACGTGGACAAACCCCTGCGCATCATCGGGGAGCCCTACAAGGTGCAGGTGAGAAAAACCCCAAAAAAACCCCAAAAAAACCCAAAAAAACCCCCAAAAAAACCCAAAAAAACCCCAAAAAAACCCCAAAAAAACCCCAAAAAAACCCCAAAATCCGGGGATTTCACCCCAAAAACCCCCAATTCCCAGCAAGCCTGTGAGATGGTGCTGGACATCCTGAGGGAGCGCGACCAGGGCGGCTTCGGCGACCGCTCGGACTACGGGGCGCGCCTGGGAGGGGGAATCGACGTGAGTGACGCCCCAAAAATGCCTTTTTTCAGCCCAAAAATCAGCCCAAAAATACCTGAAGTGTGCCCCAAAAATCGCCCCAAAAATCGCCCCAAAAATCAGCCCAAAAATCCCCTTGTTTCACCCCAATAATCCCCTTTTTTCACCCCAAAAATCACCCCAAAATCACCCCAAAATTACTTGAAATGTTCCCCAAAATCTCCCCAAAATCAGCCCAAAAATCACCCCAAAATTACCTGAAATGTTCCCCAAAAATCGCCCCAAAAATCCCTTTTTTCACCCCAAAAGTCTCCCCAAAATTCCCCCAAAAATCCTCTTTTGTCACCCCAAAATCATCCCAAATTTACCTGAAATGTTCCCCAAAAATCTACCCCAAAAATACCTGAAGTGTCCCCAAAAATCGCCCCAAAAATCCCCTTTTTCACCCCAAAAATCAGCCCAAAAATCGCCCCAAAAATACCTGAAATGTGCCCCAAAAAATCGCCCCAAAATCAGCCCAAAATTACCCTTTTCAGCCCAAAAATCAGCCCCAAAATTCGCCCCAGAAATCCCCTTTTTCACCCTCAAAATGCCCCCAAAAATCCCCTTTTTTCACCCCAAAATACCTGAAATATTCCCCAAAAACCACCCCCAAAAATCCCCCCAAAATTACCTGAAATATTCCCCAAAAATCCCTTTTTTCACCCCAAAAATTGCCCCAAAAGTCACCCCAAAAATCCCCCCAAAAATCCCCTTTTTCACCCCAAAAATCACCCCCAAATAATCCCAAAATTCCCTGAAATTTTCCCCAAAAATCGCCCAAAAAATCCCCTTTTTTCAGCCCCAAAAATCACCCCAAATCAGCCCAAAAATCAGCCCAAAATTACCCTTTTCACCCCAAAAATCAGCCCAAAATCAGCCCCAAAATCAGCCCAAAAATCGCCCAAAAAATCGCCCCCAAAATTCCTTTTTTCACTCCAAAATCAGCCCCAAAATCACTCCAAAAATACCTGAAATATTCCCCAAAAATCGCCCCAAAAATCCCTTTTTTCACCCCAAAAATACCTGAAATGTTCCCCAAAAATTGCCCCAAAATCAGCCAAAAATCACCCCAAAAATCAGCCCAAAATCACCCCAAAAATCCCTGAATT